GAAAGTAAAGGAAATAGATGCCAACTCTAAAAAAGTCAAGAAAAAGGTGCAAATGCTGGAAAGGAAGCAAGCTTCGGATGAATCTCAACTTTTACAACTGCAAATGGAGAAAGCTAACCTGGTCCTCCAGTTCCAAGGGGTCCCTGAAGTAAAAGACGAGAATCTAAAGCAACGTTTGAGCGATGCATTAGCTCCAGTTACAGATTTAAAAGCGGAATACCTTATAAGTGAAATGGATGTGGTCTATAGGGCCTATTCTGTTTATATCAAGAAAAATAATCTGCCTGGGGCGATAGTGGTTAGATTCTTGAAGAGACACGTGAGGGATTCTGTCCTGAAAGCAACGATGGGAACACCCCTGAAAATCGGAAGCAACACCATCAGGATTTTAAAAGATATCCCATTTGAAATAAGGAAGAAGAGGAAGAAGTATAAAGACTTAATCCATTTTTTACAAACAAACAGCATTTCCTACAGATGGTTAATTTTCAAACTGCAGGACAAAAAAGAAAAAATTGACTCTTTTTCCAAAGCATGTGAGTTCCTGAGACTGCAACTGGGAGAACCAGCTGAGGACGCTAAAGAAGAAGATGACAGCAAATCTGGTGGTGAACTGGACTCTGTGTCTTCCGGTGAGGATTCTGCTTCAGAAAAGGGGGCAGCTGCTTCTAAACAAGAATACCAATTGAGGATTAGAAAAGATAAAGCAAAGTGAAGGCTGAAGGACTCTGAATCGTGCCTTAAAGCATGTGATATAAATGTTGCTCTTGGGGTTGTCTTTAAACAGTTAAAAATGGTTAAAAATATAAATAATTTAGCTTAATCGACTATGTTCAATGTAATGTAAGCATTTTAGACTAACACTTATATAAACTGATGTAATGATCTCCTATACTTGGGGTTTTAGTTATTCGTGGTTTTCTTTCCTTTCTCCTTAGATGTAGATGTTCCCTCCCTATTTTTTCGTTGTAGTTTGTAGAAAAAGCAATAAAGATCCCCTTCGGGGGGGGGCATAAAAAAGAAAGAAAGAAAACAATGGAGGGGTTGGGGGCAACCTCTTTGGGGGCCCGTAGAATTGGACCCCTTCGTTAAATGTTCTTGAAACTTGGTGGGTATTTTGGGGGGATGCTCCAGCAGCTACCCTGTGAGTTTGGAGCCTCTCCCTCAAACCCCCTCCCCTCCAGCCCCCAGAACATACCCTATGTTTTTGCCATTGACTTCAGTGGCCCATAGGATATAATGGGGCCGAATTGCTGCCAAAATTCGGTGGCAATTCGGCAGCAAGCCAATTCAGATCAGATCATCTGAATCGGCCTGCAGCAGCCCAAAAGCGGCCCTACTTCCTAGTAAGCATGGAACACAAAGTTTTACTCAGACATCATAGAAACAGTATTGAGCATCTTCAAGCACCTGAAACTTCTTTGAAGATATGAGCATCAGATTGGCTTTCAATTAGTCAACACACAGTTGAGCAAGAAAACCTTGGAATTAAGCTTTCCACAGTTTTAACCTCTTTGTTAGGTAACTTGATTTCAAGGCTAGGAGCTCCAGTTACCAGTGATGGTACATTCAGTGCACTAGGTGTTCAGTTCTTCTGACGCTTCATCTGGTTTACAGTATCTTATCACTTTAAGCTGGCTGTACTTTGTTGGGGACAGAAACAAACAAAATGTACAGATTGCTAGATTTTGTTATTGCTCTGAGGAGTAATGTGATTACTACAAAGGAATTTGACTGCAAGAAATTAAAATCCCTCTACATTCTCTGCCTGCCAGTAGTACATACATTTATGAATTCCTTAGAAAACCCATACCATAACCATCAGTCTGTTAGTGGTGTGGGATGTTACCCCCTGGAGGGCCCCTGCATTCCCTATGGATATTTTCCCCCTTTTGAGGTGTCTTTGCTTATTATCCTTCCCCTCTTCACCACATTAACTAGCTTTTCACTTACCCTGGTGGTAATTGCTTCCTTGGCTTCCCCCCAAAGCAAGCCGTTTTATTAATTCCTGACCACCAGCACTTGTCTATCACCCGCTGTCTGTTTTGGGGATTAAAATTTGCTAAGTCAGGTGGAAAATGAGAAGTGGATTTTTAAGATGTGGTTTTTATTGAGACAGAAACATTTTTGTCTGGATTACCAGATTTGGGGCTTTTTTATTCCCATAACACTTTGATCCAGACAGAGCAGAACTTAAATGATCTCTTTCCAGTACCTTCTGATTAAGTCAGTCATCTTCTCGACTAAAGAAACTGATTGCTTGGCACAAATATTTCTAGTGTCTGACACTAGCTGTACAGTCTTTCACCTGTAATGCTGTAGACTGACTGAGTTGGGTGCTGTAACTGATCCAAGTATAGCTTTGTGCAAAAAAAGATAAGCTGTGGCTTGATCAGGTTGGATTTTGCGTATGTTCAGAAATTTGTAAAGACCTTGACTCACTTCATAAATAAGGATCTTGTTTGTCTTAAAATACTTTTATAGTTAAATAACTGTTAAAAGGCACTGTTTATTTGCTACAGTGTGCTTATTTGGGAGAGGAGAGAAATGGCTGTGAGGCTCAAGTAGCAATGTATTGGGTATTATAGAAAATGTAGAATGGATCTTGTGTTGGGAAAGCAGAAATGCAATTGTGAAACTTTTTGTTTTCTCCAGGGCATCCATCAAAATGGAGGCTTTACAAAGGTGTGGTTTGCAATGAAAACAGTCCTCACACCGAGCATCTTCACCATCATGGTGTGGTACTGGAGACGGATCACAATGATGACGCGGCCACCTGTCTTACTGGAAAAGTGCGTACAGATAACCTGGGGAGTCTTACAAAGCAGCAAAACCCATGCAAAAGTCATTGAGAGCCAGTTTTGTTGTAGTGGTTAAGTGTGAGAGCCAGTTTGGTGTAGTTTGGTGTAGTGGTTAAGTGTGCAGTTTGATTCCCCACTCCTCCACTTGCAGCTGCTGGATGACCTTGGGCAAGCCGTAGTTCTGACAAGAGCTGTCCTTGAAAGGGCAGTTCTCTCAGAGCTCTCTTAGCCCCACCTACTTCACAGAGTGTCTGTTGTGAGGAGGGAAAGGGGAAGGAGTTTGTAAGCCGCTCTGAGACTCCCGAGTGAAGTGCAGGGTATAAATCCAATCTCTTCTCGTCTTCTTCTTGAGTGTTCTGGAAAGAGGGAAGAACCTTTGCATCAGTTAGCTGGTTATGGGTTGGCCACAGCTGGTCATGCACTAAGTTTGTTTTGATTGGCTTGCACTGGCAGTTTATTCTGTATTTGGCATGGTGTATATAAACTACTCTGTGTAATCAAATGCAACTGTCTTAAAAGGCTTTTCTATTTGGAGAGTTTCATTGGAATGCTTCTACAGGTCTTGGAGTTGGGACCAACTGCTTGTTTATCCTATCTGTGGAATGCTCTGAATGTGAAACAGCTAGTACAGATATGCCAAGAAGGGATTGGCCTTTCATTGATATCTAGGAGGAGAGGAGGAGGAGATTGGATTTATACCCCACTCTTCACTACTCAAAGGATTCTCAGAGTGACTTAGAAACTCCTTTCCCTTCCCCTCCCCACAACAGACACCCTGTGAGGTAGGTGGGGCTGAGAGAGCTCTGACAGAAACTGCTCTTTTTTTCAAGAACAGCTGTGCCAGAACTATGGCTTGCCCAAGGTCATCCAGCAGGTGCAAGTGGAGGAATGGGGAATCAAACCCGGTTCTCCCAGATTAGAGTCCACGCACTTAACCACTACACCAAACTGGCTCTTTAGATCAGTGCTTTCTTTTGAAGATGGATCTCATTGTCTAGCTTTCAAGTGAACTTCTATTAGCTTTTAGAGTAAAATAGAGTAAAATAGTAAAGACTGCCCTAAAACAGCACATTTTAACATGTAGGATGGAAATGAAATTTTAGCTAATGGTTGGCCATTCCATCTCAGTTTCTCTTGGATTTTTGGGTAGTGGATCCTTCTCTGAAATGGAAAATGGTTTTGAATTTGTTACTCCTTTTCCAGAGTTATCTTTGCTCTTGGGATTTCCATGACATTCATAAACATCCCAGTGGAGTGGTTTTCTATTGGGTTTGAGTGGACTTGGATGTTGCTGTTTGGAGATATTCGCCAAGGAATCTTCTATGCTATGCTTCTGTCATTTTGGATCATCTTCTGTGGAGAGCATATGATGGTGTGTATGAACTTTTGAGTGCATATGGGGTTCAATCCTAATAAACTTTCTGCTGGCGTAAGAGCCAAGGAATTAAATGTGACCAGCTTTCCTCCCCTTTGCAACAGCAGAAAAGCTAGTAGGACCCTCCTGTAACTACTTTAGACTGGGAAACCAGGATCTATAAAGGGTTTTCCACTCTGTTTTATGGACAGAGGTGGGTTTCAGGAAAGAAGAATGCCTTCCTATCCATAGGAAGAGTCCAGATCTCACTGTCCATCCGATTTCATGATTTCTAGTGTTGGTTGGGAGAGAGAGTGAAATGTAATTGCCTGTAATTAGTATAGAATAGGGATCCCCAACCTTTTAGATCCTATGGGCCCTTTTGGGATTCTGACACAGTGTGGTGGGTGCAGACATAGAACGGCTGCCAGAAGAGGTGGAGCCAGCCATACAATGGCTGCTGCAGCTCACCTTCCATCATACAGTGAAGATACTTTGTGCTGTAGTGGCAGCTGCTGCCAAAGCAATATTTTTAAAAATCTGCACAGCCACTCAAATTTTCAGTGGCCAGTCAGAAGCCTTGCTGTGCAAAAGTCCCACCTGCCCCCACTTTCTAAAAGCACTTGGTGGGTGCCAGGAAAGGTGTCAGTGGCCCCTGTGGGCACCACATTGGGGACCCCCTTAAGTTGCTGATTCCTAATGAAAGATCAAAGGGGCAGGTGACTTGCAAGGCCCGTTAGGTTTAAATTTGTTACTAAATCTGATTTGCTCGGCTGAGATGTATTCATGTATGATGGAAGTTACTGAAGCAAATTTCAGTAACACTGCCTTTTCCATTGTTCCATTGTTCATGATGGTCATTTTAATGCAGGTAAAATTTTTAGCATTTGTTTCATTAATCGTTTGGATATCATTCTGTTCCCCATTTCTATTAGGATCAGAATGAACGAAATCGTTTCTCTAGCTACTGGAAACAAGTCGGGCCAATTGCTGTAGGCGCCTTCTGTCTGTTTGTCTTTGACATGTGTGAGAGGTAATGTAGAGATATTCCTCTAAGTTTTTAAAAGTGTTATTGCAGTAAAAAAAGGTAAAGGTTCCCTTGCTCGAAAGCCAGTCGAATCCGACTCTGGGGTTGCGGTGCTCATCTCCGTTTCAAAGCCGAAGAGCCAGCGCTGTCTGAAGACGTTTCCGTGGTCATGTGGCTGGCATGACTAAACACCGAGGCACACGGAACGCTGTTACCTTCCCACCAAAGTGGTACCTATTTATCTACTTGCAATTTCTTGCTTTCGAACTGCTAGGTTGGCAGGAGCTGGAACTAGAGACGGGAGCTCACTCCGTCATGCGGCACACTCAGGTCTCGAAACTGCTGAACTACTGACCTTCCACAGACTGCAGTTCAGCGTCTTAACAACTTGAGCCACCGCAGCTCCTCAACTCACAGTTCATTGTTGGTCTTTATCTTGACCACGCTCTTAATCGCTCCTCTGCTAGTTCTCCTGTGCTTGACCGGATCGACACAGCTTGTGGCCTCGCTAAGAGGCACAGCCTTTAAGGGGTTTCGGGGGGGGGGGAGGATTTCGCTTCAAGTATCTGTTTACAATTGTTTCTCTCTCTCCCCCCTCCCCTCCGTTTATGTAAATGCATCTGAGAGGCGTCCCTCTCTCAGCAGAGAGCAGTCAGCGAGAAGGACCGTCAGGGCGGAGGGGAGCCTCCATCTCCCTGCAGTTAGCAGGAAAAGAGGCTCACCCTCAAAAGCCCTATGGCTTTGGGGGTCCCCCCGCACTCCCCTGGGGGGGCCGATCCAGTGGCACCTCCCCCCCCGCTGCTGAGCGGTGCGCCTTCCCAGAGAGCCATCGTTGTGCCGTAAACCCCGCCTCGAGATTCTACACTTCATTGTGATAAGAAAGCTGCCCTTTCTCAGTTCTGTCCTGGATTTTTAATAGTACATTCCATATCTGACAAAATTGGTACACAATACCCCTATAAATAATCTTTGACCTATTCTTGCCCTACTGGTTTTCCAAATATCTTGTTGCAGGGATGGGGAGGTCATTACACAATTAGATTTGAAACACTTTGAATACAATGCAAGTGAGTATATAGCCCAGCAAGCGTCTCTAAATATTGTTCCTTTGACCTTTCCAAATTACAATGGGAAGCGTAGCTTTGTGTTATGTTTTTATTGTATATGATTTGTTCCATTTGAGACATGATTTCCTTCCATTTCCAGAGGGGTACAATTAAAAAATCCATTCTACAGTATCTGGACCACAGATGTTGGTACGGAACTCGCTGTATCCTTTTCTTTCCATATCAACAGTGGCACTGCATAGAGAAGGGCAATGGAGGTTTGAAGTGGAGGCTGCCTTTTCTTTGGGGAAGAGAGTGCTAAACCTGCAGAAAACCTTGTTAATTCTGGGAATGTGTGTCAATAGAACTGGTTAGGAAGGCTTTTTGATTTAAATGTTGTGATGCATCCTGATATCCTTTAAACTAGTTTCATGAATTTGAAACTGGTTGTACTTTCCTGAAATTTTTATGTGCAGAGTTGACGTTAAACCAAGAAATGGGGTTTTGTTTTGTTTCAGAAACCTGGTATGCATATTGATAAAAGTGGAGTACTGAATAAATGTACAGGGATGATAAAGTGTGGGTGTCATTGCAGAACTTAGGTTCCCCTGGCTTACCGTTGAAAGTTACCTCTACTGTGTATGTTCTGTCCTGCTCTAGAGTAATGTAGTGTATTCACCAAAACAGTGCTTTTTATTTTGGTACCCTGGCATATGCTCCTAAAATTAGTGTTGCTGTTGAATTTTTTGCTGTTTAAAAAAATGCCTGTTCATGTTGGAAGCATTTTCCAGCTGCTGTTAATTTTTCCTATGAAGCCAAGATAAGCTAATAGGCTTAGCTCACTCCCCCTGCATCACAGACCTCTAGCCAGCCTCTCCCTAAGATTAAAGGATGGCGGATGTTTCCCAGCTTCCTCCTATGTACCAGTGGAGCAGAAGTGACAAGTCCACCGAGGTTTTTTAGCCTGCTAGTATTATAGTCATTTATCCCACATTAATGCCACCTCAGGCCTGTGGGAACAGCAACAGCTCATCAGGCCTGGAACTGAGCCAAAGAAAGGACTTCTTAGGTGCTCACAAAGTCTCACTCAGTCTATATTTTCTGTCAGTTTCGCAAAAGGAATTTCCCCCCTGGCTTCCATGTATGGCAATGATGCTTAAGCAAAGCCAAATAAATTATTGCTATCTGAGTCTCTGTTGACTGTGTGTGTGTCAAGGTGCTGCTCCCTTAACTTTACTGCTCAGATGGCATTTATTATCGTTGCTGGGATCTGCCTCTGTCTCTACTTCCTGTTCCTGTGTTTTATGGTGTTTCAAGTGTTCCGAAACATCAGTGGTAAGCAATCCAGCCTCCCAGCAATGAGTAAAGCTCGCAGACTTCACTATGAGGTAAGGAACTGGAGTGGTGAAAACCTCATCTTAAAATCCCTTGCAAACCCAACAGCACTTTTGGTATGGTATTCCAATCAATGCTTGTGAACAAGCTAAGAAGAAGGAGGAGGAGGGAGGAGATGGGATTTATGCCCCGCCCTTCACTCGGAGTCTCAGAGCAGTTTACAAACACCTTTCCCTTCCCCTGCCCACAACAGACACCCTGTGAGGTAGGTGGGGCTGAGAGAGCTCTTTCAAGAACTGCCCTTTCAAGGAAAGCTCTTGTCAGAACTGTGGCTTACCCAAGGTCATCCAGCAGCTGCAAGTGGAGGAGTGGGGAATCAAACCCGGTTCTCCCAGATTAGAGTCCGCACACTCAGGGCTCTTTTTGTAGCAGGAACTCCTTTGCATATTAAGCAACACACCCCTAATGTAGCCAATCCTCCAAGAGCTTACAGTAGCCCCTGTAAGAAGAGCTCTGTAAGCTCTTGGAGGATTGGCTACATTAGGGGTGTGTGGCCTAATATGCAAAGGAGTTCCTGCTACAAAAAGAGCCCTGCGGCTTAACCACTACACCAAACTGGTATTTTTAGTGGCCAGCAGGTAGCAGAAACAAAGGTATTTTGTCAGTAATGTGAGTTTTGCAAAGAACAGTTGTGTAAGGAACAAGCAACACACACAGTACAACCTCATTTATCTGAGATAGGGACTCTTGGTTTGGGGCAAGTGATGCTCTGTATTCTTGGTGCTTGGGGAGGGGGCAACAGTGGGAGGGCTTCTAGTGTCCTGGCCCCACTGGTGGACCTCCTGATGGCCCCTGATATTTTTGGCCACTGTGTGACAGGGTTGGACTGAATGGGCCATTGGCCTGATCCAACATTGGCTTCTCTTAGGTTCTAATGAGACAGAAAACATTCTCCCTGCTCTGATATATACTGACACGAAAAGTAAACGGAATTCTGTAAGGCTTTCTCTTGAGTGTGTGTGGAACTACAGCTTATGTGACAGGCAGACTGTTGGGTTAGGTAACAAAAAGGCTTGAAGAAAGGGGTTAGTTTTTTTTCAAATTAACAGGTAAATTTCAGTCATATTTTCCACTAACAGCTCCAGAATATGTGCAGCTCTTTCTCTGACATAGTCCTCTTTTCTTGGTGTATTCCCTCTTTGCCTTGGACATTCTTGTATGAGAGCAGCTCAAGCTCAGCAGAGAGAAGGAGAGATATAACAACCAGAGGTCCTTCAGTAGCCAGCAGGTAGCAGAACCAGTCACTGCCTGAGACCTCATTACTGCCATTTCTGTCATAAATATTCGAGCCCTTTACAAGACTGATCTGCATAATGGTATCTTGTAAGTGAGACTGTATGCACACAAGCCTTACAGACATAAAGTCTTATTTGCTTTATGGGGCCATTATTTCAGACTTCTCTCTCCTCTTGAAGAAAGTGTTGTTTTCCATGTCCTTACCCTCCTCATGCCTGATACCCTCAGTACATTCTCAAGCCCTCATCCAACTTTACCCTTTCTTTCCTGCCTGGAACTGCCTCGCAGAACACCTCCTTGCTCTTCAAATCGCTCCTCAAAACCCATCTGTTCCATGAAGTCCCTATATCCCCTACTGAAATTAAGCCTTAAGCACACACAAGCTAAAGTGAATGTGTAGTCTTCTCCTGTTTATCCCTGCTTCCGTTTCTTTCTTTGCTACTGAGCAGACTGCCTTGTCCTGCCCATTAAAAAATGCAGTGTCTGATTTATTATCATGAATAAGTCTTCCCTTCTTTACGTATCTGAAAAGGCCAAAGAAGCTGCTTGTCCTCAAGCTGCCTCAGTATAGCACATTGGGGGTGGGTGATCACAAACAGTTTAGTTGGTAAGTCCTATAGACTCCCCATAAAACAGTCCTTTCTAACCTGACTTTTGACTGGGATTTTAAAGGCTCCCCTATATTGGGATAGACAGTATAATTAAGAGGCTAACTGAAGGTGTGAACAAGCTTTTAAGACTGAATCGGGGAAGGAAATGTTGGTTTTTATGACTAGATACAAGGGTCTAAAAGCAGCCTTTGATAAAGGCTGAGCAGACTTGCCACCACAACGGATGTTTGCTTACTCAGCTCCTGTGCTGGAAGATGGAGTCATCACTTGAGATGCTTACTTGGACAGTAACTCTTCCTCCCTGCAAGAGACTAGTAATGGGAAGTAAAGAATCCACAGTTGTCTAGGGATTCAACCTGCACTCAGTTCAGCCTTCCACTCACAGAAATCTGTGAGTTGGCAAAGAGGAAATAGAAGGGTGCTTGCACTCATGCTCTGGGCCTTTCCCCTAAGGCCTGCCTTTATCAGTGTGACTTGAGAGCACAAACTACAGCTAGAAACCTGAAAATCGAAGACATTGTAGATCTCACATGTAAGTTTTCATCTTATAGAAACTCTGGGTTAAAATATTTGAGTTTTTCAGTAAAATGACTAGTGCTGTTTGTTTTTGTCTTTCTAGGGGCTAATTTTTAGGTTCAAGTTCTTGATGCTGATCACACTGGCTTGTGCTGCCATGACTGTAATATTTTTCATTGTCAGCCAGGTAAGTGTCCTAAAACAACTTTATCTAGGATTCTGACAAATGTTTTTAAACTTCTCAGAGAAATTTGGGGCTTTGGATAATGAATCTGGTCAGTAGTTACCTGTTTTTCGTAAAGAAGAAAAAAGAAGAGTAGGTTTTTATATCCTGCCTTCCTCTACCTTAAGGAGTCTCAAAGCAGTTTATAATCTCAAAGCAGTTTATAAACCCTTCCCTTCCCCTCAACAGGCACCCTGTGAGGTAGGAGCCAGTTTGGTGTAGTGGTTAAGTGTGCAGACTCTAATCTGGGAGAACCGGGGTTGATTCCCCACTCCTCCACTTGCACCTGCTGATGTGACCTTGGGTCAGTCACAAGCTCTGGCACAGCTGTCCTTGAAAAAAAGCAGTTTCTGTCAAGAGTTCTCTCAGCCCCACCCACCTCACAGGGTGTCTGTTGTGGGGAGGGGAAGGGAAAAGGAGTTTGTAAGCCGCTCTGAGACGCCAAGTGAAGGGCGGGGTATAAATCCAATCTCCTCCTCTTCTCTTCTTCTAGGTGGGGCTGGAAAAGTCCTGAGAGAACAGGGACAACCTTTATATAAAGGACAACTGTTATGAGCCCCTTTTTCTAAGAGAGTGGTGTGTAATTTTTAATGTGAACATTTCAGCATTCATTGTAACCAGGATATGGGATTTGGCTGTCTTTAAACATTTACTCCAAGGCTGCATTACTTCTGTCCTTGCAGTCATAAAGGGAGAGGACAGTCTGTCAGGTCATGAACTGGAATAGGTAGGGTGCATGTAAAGAAGGAGCCCTTTAGCTCCTGTTGGGCTTGTAATTCTCGGTTCCGTATGTGTTTATGCTCCTGCCTCACTTGATTATGTCTATTCTTTTTCCTGTCTTAGGTGACTGAAGGCCATTGGAAATGGGGTGGCTACACGGTTGAACTGAACAGTGCCTTTTTCACAGGAATTTACGGAATGTGGAACCTTTATGTCTTTGCCCTCATGTTCCTGTATGCACCTTCACACAAAAACTATGGTGAAGATCAGTCAATTGGTGAGATATAATGAAGCTGCAAGCAAGCTGGAGACCTGTAACCAGTAATTAGGAGACGGGAACTTTTCCTTTTTATATTTTTATTAATTTTTAAACTTAATAGGAAAAATCAAAATCAATAGATTTCAACAAAATGTATAAGAGGGAAAATATATGTGTGTGCATGTATAGTAACATATAAAGTTGTACTTCTCTTAGGCTCACCAAACAAAAATTTACAATAGAAAAACCCTCTATGTACATTCACAAAAATTGCACAATTACAAAGGTCTGTATTCAACTGCAAATCCTGAGTCCAAAAGTCAAGAAAGGGTTTTCATTCTCTAGTGAAATTAGATTTACATAATCTCCCATTCATTAATTCTGTTAGTTTGGTAAGTTACCATTTTCCAGAGTTTATTAAGCCCAAGCTTCTACATTTCAATATCACTGGTTCTACCAGCTATTAGTTCTGTTCATCTTAGCATATTTAAAATGACTGTGCTGTAGTTTGAAGGAACAGAATCTGCTTAGACCAAACAGTACTACTTTTGGACCTTCTAGAATATTCAGTTCAGCCATGGAGAATATGTTTCTCTCTCTTTTTGCTAATTTTATATTAGGACATGGCCACCACATATGCCTGCAGTTAGCGTCTAAGGTTCTATATTTCCAACATGCATATTTTTGTGTCTTCATCTTAATCAGTATATGTGGAATCATATACCATAAACACAGTACCTTATAAAGCTTTTCTTTCATGCTAGCATATATGGCGAAAGCTGCCTCCGACCATGCCATTCATCATTAGAAATTGTACACTTAAATATTTTCTCTCAGTTTGAGCTTCTGATTTGTGGCACACCATCATCGGAGGGCTCCTGGGCGATCTCCTGCGGAATCCCTGAGCCTCCTGGCCCCAGCGGGAGGATCGGAGCGATCCGACCTTCCAAAGAGCTGTCTCGTAGGGATGTGCAAAATGGCCCATTCGGACCCCTTTCAGGCTGGCTGCAGGCCAATTCAGATTCTCTGATCTGAATCGGCTTGCTGCCGAATTGCCGCCGAATTTTGGCGGCAATTCGGCCCCATTATATCCTATGGGCCATTGAAGCCAATGGTGAAAACATAGGGTATATTCTGGGGGTTGGGGGGGAGGGGGTTTGAGGGAGAGGCTCCAAACTTACAGGGTAGCTGCTGGAGCCTCTCCCCAAGATACCAACCACGTTTGAAGAACATTGGACTAGGGGGTCCAATTCTACGGGCCCCCAAACAGGTTGTCCCTATCCCCCCCCCATTGTTCTCTATGGTGGGAGAAAAGTAACTTTTTTCCTTTCACGCTGAAGATTTGTTTTCTTTCAGACTCTTCATTTTCCATAAGTGTGGGAGATATAGCCTTTCCCCCCTCATCTTGGAAAGGAGCCTGTTGCTCATCCAGAGCCTGCCGAAACACCATTACTTCTTTCTCACCATCCAAATCTAAAGGGAGACTCTGAGGCTTTTCAAAGATATTTTTACATGCTGTTTTCATTGCTTGCTTTATTTCCTCTACGACTATCTTTTGAAATCGCTCCCAAGAAAGGTTCCCAATTTCTGTGTTCTCTCAGTCCTCAGTCTCTTCTGAAGCCATTTTTAAACTTTTTATCTTAAACTGTTTAATAGTGTTTCCAATATTTCTGAAGTGTCATGCAACTCGAGACCCTCACAGCCATTGCTCTAAGTAGTTAATGGTTTAAACAAACAAAGTCATTTTCTCACCCCCACCACTTTGAAGCAAAACTTTGATCCCCGCTTGCTTTGTAGCCACTTTCCTTCAAGTTTGGCAATATTCCAGGGGAGGTATTTAAGAAGAAATCCTCACCTTTCGCTTTTATGCTTGATCAGTGATATATTAAGTCTTCATTATTTGTAGTCTGTTATGGTGTAAGTCCGAGTTCACTCTAAAACGGCTGGCTGCAGCTAAGCAAGACATGGCAGCCATGTCTTGCTCCGTTTTTCGTTCTTGCTTTGAGGCAGAATGACCTCACCCCTGCATTTGCCATATGCTAGGGCAGCCAAAGATAAGCCTCCTGCTTCCTGACCCCCCTCCAGGCAGTCAGGCAGAGCCCAACTGGTCAGAAATCCCGGAGAGCTCCAAAAGAAATGAAAAAGGAACAGGGCGATTCAGGAGCATCCTGAAAAATGCCTCATCGCCACGCTGCACCAACCAGAAGTTTTTCCGAGGCTGGCAAAACTAAGGGGAGGGCCAGACCTGTAGATTTGAGGGGTGTAGCTGGGGGAGGGCAAGGTTTGGGGTACGGAGGGACCTCAGCAGGGTATAATGCCATAGAGTCCACTGCCCAAAGCAGCCATTTTCTCCAGGAGAAATTATCTTGGAGTTCTCCAGGTGCTGCCTGGAGGCTGGCAATACTAAGGGGAGGGCCAGACCTGTAGATTTGAGGGGTAGAGCCTGGGGAGGGCAGGGTTTGGGGTACGGAGGGACCTCAGCAGGGTATAATGCCATAGAGTCCATTGCCCAAAGCAGCCATTTTCTCCAGGAGAACTGATCTTGGAGATCTCCAGGTGCTGCCTGGAGGCTGGCAATACTAAGGGGAGGGCCAGACCTGTAGATTTGAGTGGCAGGGTTTGGTGTACGGAGGGACCTCAGCAGGGTATAGTGCCATAGAGTCCATTGCCCAAAGCAGCCATTTTCTCCAGGAGAACTGATCTTGGAGCTCTCCAGGTGCTGCCTGGAGGCTGGCAATACTAAGGGGAGGGCCAGACCTGTGAGGTAGGTGGGGCTGAGAGAGCTCTTGACAGAAACTGCTCTTTTTCAAGAACAGCTCTTATCAGAACTTGCCCAAGGTCATCCAGCCAGGTGCAAGTGGAGGAGTGGGGAATCAAACCCGGTTCTCCCAGATTAGAGTCCGCACACTTAACCACTACACTAAACTTAATTTAATGCCAACAGTTCTGTTTTCTCTTTGTTGTCACAGTAACCTGATAATTTTGCATGTAGGTCAAAGCAGTACATTACTGCTAAAACTGAAGGGTTTTTGATCCAAAAGGTTAACATGTCATTAGCATAAAAACTACTTTTAACTCTTTATTTAACTTTACCTCTTGGAATCAAAATGTTATTTCCCCATCTCTGCTAAAGGTTTAACACTGGTGGTGGCAACATGTAATGCCGACAAAGAACCCACATGTCCTGTCCCTCTTTCCTTTTATGTGTGTAGCTTGGGTGGGTGATAAAACATCTTTCAAGCCTTGCAGAAGAAGTTGTAACTGTCACTCCTCCAAGGCTGTGTTTCCATTTGAAACATGGTTTTGTTTTCCAGGTGACCTGGGAATAAGCAGCGGAGAAGAACTTCAGCTCACGACCACCATCACCCATGTTGATGGACCTACAGAGGTTTACAAACTGGCTCGCAAGGAGGCCCAAGAGTAATTAATAAATCACAGCTCATCAAGCACAGACGGACAGTAACATATGGAACAGTAGCAGTATTTTCTTGTGAGGGTGCATGGCTGAAATCATTCTAAACGTGTTTGTGTACTTTCACAGAAAGGTGGCTAGAACAGTGGGAAATGCTCCTGGATAATAATTTGTGTTTGGGAGGAGGAGCTTTTATCAGATTTGATCCCTCCTCCCTCCATTACGCTCCCAGTTTTGTTTTGCATGTTAACTCCTGGGCAAAAGGGTGTGTGTGGCTTCATGAAGGGACAGGAACCCATTTCCCTGGTCTGACCTTTAGGTTGCTCTTGGATTAACACATCTGCTGCTCTCTTTGCTATAGAAAATCTTGGGAAACAAATCAATATTCTGTGTGTTTCCTGTTCAAGGTTTTGTTCTGTATTTCCAATGCCTATGTTTAGAACCATTTTTGTTCTTTATTTATATTGCATGTAGCCAGTGCTGTTAAATATTTATGTACTTTGATAAACTCATCCATGACTTTTTATAGTCCAGTGTAATACTGCCTTTTGTAAAGTTTTGGTACAAAAAGAGCATTTCTGCTTTAAAATTGAACCTCATTTGCCTGTGGATATGTATGCCTTGAGCACTAATAATTCTTTATGGTGTAGATATCTTTTTGATATGCTCTCACTCTTAAGTATGCTTGTGTGATGCATAATCCATGGAATAGTAGGAGGGGAGGTGGGGTTCAGGGTCATGTTTTTAATGCTGCAAGTAGTCTTGGGAATATTGTAGGGGGGTTTTGTACTATGAATAAAATATATAATATTGTGCCTTTTCTCCTTTGTAGGAAAACATGTAGCTGTAGGTCAAACAGTTTTCTTAATTTTAACCTGCAGAAAAAAGAGTCCAGTAGCACCTTAAGGACTAAAAAAAAATGTAGTAAGGTGTTTTTGTGAGTCACTGCTCACTTCTTCAGTGTTAGTCTTTAAGGTGCTACTGGGCTCTTACACTATACTACTGCCACAGACAGGCTAACAGGGCTACCCTGCTTGCCCAATCTACAGAAAGTGATGTTCCAGAGAACACTGACCCCTGCTGGTTGTCCAAGGCATCACACTGGGCCATCATCATAGTTTCACAATTGTAAACCTCCTTTAGGCAAAGACTGTTGTATATTCAGAAACTCTTTCAAACACTCATGTTTTAATAAGGACTCTGACCACCTTTTAAATAGTTACATGCCTAGGCTCCTTGTCCCAGTGCTGTGAAACAAAGGAAGCAAGAAGGTTTGAACAAGTGTTAACTGTTGTGTTTGGGAGGGCTTGGTATTTTGTAGGTAGGAAGTATTCGGTAGTTGCGGATTTGCTTATTCCAGGGGTTCCCAGTGTGGTGCCCACTGACACCTTTCTTGTCCAAGCCAAGTGTTTGGAGACAGTGTGTGGGACCAGGTGGGGCTTTTGCACAGCAAGGCTTCTGGCTGGCCACTGGAGATTTGATTGGCTGTGCCGATTTTTTAAAAGCGTAGCTTTGGCGGTAGCTGCCACTACAGCACAAAGTAAGCTGCAACAGCCATGTTGTAGCTGGCTCCATCTCCTGTAAGAGCCATTTTGTGGCAGCCATTTTATACTGTGACCACACTGTGTTTCAGAACTCCAAATGTGCCCACAGGCTCAAAAAGGTTGGGGACCTCTGGCTTATTTTACAGCAAGTCCCTGTGGCCCAAGCTTCCCATGCTGCATGCTACTAGAGCATTTTGGCTAATAAATTAGCAGTGTTCTTCTTTGAATAAGTTAGCAAGGAGCTAGGCATGTAAATTCTGCCAGGTGACTTCTACAAACAGTCTAATTTAGGAGCAGTTTTTTGAAGTCTTTGGGTAACTCAGTGAAATAATCAAAGAGCAGCTTCTCCATAGCAGAGCTGCTTTAGATACTGTTAAGTATTAATACTATAAAGGAAAATGAAGACCATGCAGTGCACTTACGTGAAGGTATTGTCTTCCTTTCAGAACCTGCTTGACTAGACCAAGTATACACCCTCTTGTACGAGCCATATTGTTAGACCGTCATCTTCAATGTGTTGGAGACTGATTATTCCAGGTTCCATTGCTGGGGAGGTTTTGTTCCTCTTCTTTGATTAAAATTCAGTGTCTCACTTTCCTGCCTATGTAATGCAGTGTAATCTATGTTGCCACTGCAGTTGCAGTGCTACTGCAACATCTGTTGGGAGTTCTAACAGAGCCCTGTTCAAGCAGTCTTGCTTCTTGTCATATCTAGCGTCCGTTCCTAAAACATGTCTTGCTTTTTCACATGGCCTTTTTAGGACTCTAGAGGGGGTAGCTTTGTTACAAACGAAAACAGGAGTCCAGTGGAACCCTAAAGACTAACAGTATTTTAGCATGAGCTTTCATGAGTCAGCACTTGAAGAAGCTCTGACTCTTAAGAGCTCATGCTGGAATAAATGTTGCTCGTCTTTAGGATGTTGCCGGATTATGTTTTACTCTGTAGAATTAACGCAGTTATTAGTTGTAATTAAATGTTCTGTTCCTGCTGTTTTCTGACTCAAAGTTACACACACAGAGCATGCATTGCCAATACATTGGCCCATGAATTCACCTTCCCATGTAGTTTACGGCAACCCAGGATGGACCTATGTAGAGTGCCTTAGCAAGAGGTTGTCCAGCTCCAGTTAATAAACCATCTGGCGTCGCACCACCTCTGGCTTGTCCTTAAGGGCTATTGTGGGGGGGTCTGTCCATTACAATATTTATGCCCTGCCTTTCTGTAGTGGTTCAAGATGGCTTACAGTTCCCAAAATTAAAAACATACGAAATGCAGTAAAATCCCATTTACACCCCCACCCTCTGCAAGGCAATGTTTGCCGTGTAAGCTCTCACAAGTAAGATGGTCATATGGTGCGTTTGAAATACTTAATGAAGGTTATGTCCCTCCTCAATCCCTTTAGGTGCTCATTCCATATGGTGGAAGTCACTGCAGAAAAAGAAAAGGCTCTAGTTGATGTTAAGTGGGATACCTTCAGTAAGGGGACAAGCAAAAGGTGGCAACCAGAAGACTGTGTTTGGTGTATAGGGGGAGAGAATCCTTCATATGATGCCAAGTGTTGCAGGCTGTAAAGTGTTTCCTTTAGGCACGTCAGAAAGTTTAGGTAGTCAAATAGGGTGGTCACTTTTTGCAGGAATGGCAGCATCCTGGTGTATATAGTTTAAGCAGGTGGAGTTTGTCCTGGCATGGGGGGAGGGGTGGCACCACCTGTAAACTTCTTTTATTAAGCGGCTGATAAAGGCACAAGGGTAGTGCCCATTAAAGTGGCAACCTGTGTCTCTAAACTTGTTCTTTATACTTGAGTGTGAATTGTCTACTTTTTGAAGAGCTTATAAAGCCAGGCATTATCAGAACACAAGTAGGAATGTCTTCTGCAGCTAATGAATTTCCTGCAGACTGCATAATATGGTTGATTTTAAAAAAACAAGCTAGAATTAAATATGGGGTGTATGAGAGTGTTGGGGGCAGGGAAAGGGACCAGGCGGGGGGGGGGGGGGGGGCCGGGGCTGCTTTTATTCGATTTATATTCCACCCTCCCTACCAAGGCAGGCTCAGGGTGGCTAGTACTTTTGCCCACTATGTTGACCACTGACTTGCAGCACCCACCCCACAGAGTCTCTGTAAACAATCCCATCCATACTCTGGATGATGTGTACTTTCATACAGAGAGATTGTAATATATAAATCTCTCTAGCACGTCAGGCCATTTGTTCATCTTGACAAGTACGCTAACTATTTCTGATTTTCTAGTACCTCAGGCACAGGCAAACAGTTCTCTGTTTCCTGTCTTCCCTTTGACACCCCTGATATCTACCTCTTGACACACACTGTTGCCCACTATTCACTATGGTACTTACAGGAAGGATTCAGAAATGAAAATTTATCCATACAAAATTAACCGTTGAATAAAAGTGGTTCAATGTTATCTCTAGTGCACACAAATGAAATACATTGATAGTTTGGTGGTGGCTGTTAGTAGGCAAACGGCATGATACTGTCATCTAGCTGCAATAAAACACTATGCAGTGTTCTGATGTGAAGCTGCCCTGACATGACTCTTCTAGGCAAGTTGACAGAAGGTACTGTAGCAGGGGTTGTTTCTGTACTTTGGTAGCCATGGAAAGAAGTTGATGATAATTATCATATGGCAGTGTGTATATTATAGCCAGCCAGGAGATCCTAAGATTGTCTGGCAGACAGAAGTTCTAGTTCTTTTAGTGTTATTTACCACTAGGTGGCAAGCTAGACTTGTTTTTAAGGCAGGAAACATTTCAGATGTGGTTTATCATTGCCTGCCTCTGCATCATTCCCCTGGTATTCCTTGGAAGTTGCCCATCCAAATACTATCCAGGGTCGACCCTGCTTAGCTTTTGGGATCTGACTAGCCTGTGCTATCCAGGTCAGGGTAGTTGATTATGTAATTTCTGGAAGCGCTTTTTGTTCTGTTGTTCCTCCTGCATTTGCTGTTCGTGTGTAAACCAACATTTACTCCGTCCTATCCAGTTTTTGACATACTTACTGTGTATGGTATCATACGCTTCTCCTGAAATAATGCTATAGACATTCCATGTTGTGTACATACAGTCGGTTTCTGTGGGGATAATTCAGGAACAGAACTTGCAAGACAAAATGGTTTAAAATAAAAATTGTAACTTGGATTTCCACCATACAGAACAATGCAACAGAATTGATGTTGCAAACACATAAATACAGCAGTAAACAGAAGATGCAACAGATTGTGTCTCTGAGTTTAAAAAACAAAACAAAAACCCACAACTGATTTTTGCTTGCAGCACTTTGTGGTGGTGAGTTAAGTTCTTCTTCTCAAATCCATTAAGGTGCAGGATTATTTTCATCCACTTCTCTTTCTAAAAGCTTCAACCAGACTGCAATCTTGAAAGACAGAGACTTTATACAAGGTGATAAGAGCCCAGAAAATCTTTTCATGCTCCCAAGCAACCACTGTCATTTCAGTCCCAGAACAGCTTATGTGGTCCCTGACAATGTCATTCTACTCTAGAGGCTGTCATTCCAGTCTCAGGCCACTAATTCTAATCCAGGAACTGGCATTCCACTCTGGTGGCTGTCATTCTAGTCCCAGGACAGTTTACCTGGGCTCAGGAGCCATCATTCCACTCTGGGTGCTATCATTCCAGTCCCAGAACACATATGCTACTCCTGGGGTCTGTCATTCCACTCTGGGGATTGTTGCAGTCCCAGAGCACTGATTCCAGTCCCAGGGGCTGTCATGCCAGGCCAGAGCAGGTTGCTTGGAATCCTTTCTTTTATGTGCTGTATTGATGGAGCCTGTACCAATCAATTGGCATTCCCGGCTCCCATTATTCCCACTGGGCTTTCGAAGATCCATACAGTTTCTCTTTGCTTTTTGCCCATCTCCATTTAGAAATGTACGGCCCATCCAATATGTTGAAGCTATTTGCTGCCCTCCATTGGCAGCAAGGGGAAGTAATCTGGACTTCACACCAGAATAAAGGTTTTGAACTTAGTTATATTCACTCACAAAAAATTGTCTCTGGCTACAAGAAAGAAGAGAATGTGCTCCATCCCACTGTGCTTCTCTAACAGCTTTGCAGGAAGAAGCCTTGCTGCAATCAGACACACACGTTTCCTGTATATTCAGAACCAAGGAGCCTTGCCCTTAAAAGGTTACTCACTGATGATGGCAATGCTGCTGTCCACACCCACCGAGGCTGCAGGTCTCTGCAAGGCTGTGCACCTTAAACTGATTTCAGAGGG